AAACAGCCTCATGTGCTGGGTCCAGAGGTCCTTACCCCTGGCTCTGAGCCGCGGGCAGAGGGGCTCTGCCGCCCCTTCACCCACAGCCGCACACCGATCGGGCTGTCGCTGCTGCCTTTAGGCTGAGCAATAGGACATCTTGTGTCAGCGATGTCCATGCGGTTGGCTCGCAGCACAGAGTCAAGTGATTTCTAGGACCTGGAATAAAAGGTGTATTTGCAGGGTTTTTTTTTGTTGCTGTTGGGGAGGAAGTTGTACAGCATACTATTAGAAGTGGAAAGGCTCACTCACCGTGACATCTTTGTTTTTTTAAATATGTTTTTATTGATCTCAGAGAGGAAAGGAGAGGGAGAGCGAGAGAAACATCAATGATGAGAGAGAATCATTGATTGGCTGCCTCCTGCATGCCCCCTACTGGGGATCCAGCCCACAACCCAGGCATGTGCCTTTGGTCGGAATCGAACCCGGGACCCTTGAGTTTACAGGCCAACGCTCTATCCACTGAGCCAAACCAGCTAGGGGTCACGTGACATCTTTAAAATCATTGATGTGCATGCGGATTTCAATTAAAATGCTCACGGGTATGAGACTATCTCAGGTGGCTACGTTATAAATTAACTAGCTATAGGTAAAGCTTATTCAAAAGGCAGATACGAATTAATGGTGAGAACTTTGCAAGTAACATTGACTTCCCGCCGCTGAGTGCCGGGAACAGCACACCATGCCGCTAGGCCACCCGCTCTTTGCTCTGCTGACTGAAGTCCCGCCCATCGGGGATTGCCCTTCCTGCCCATCTTCCAGCTCCCAGCTGCAGACAGATTCCTTTTGCACAAGTGCTACCCCATGTAGGCTGTTCGCTGCAGCAAAAAATAACCCTTCACACCTCACTGACTTCCAGCCACAAAGATTTATTTCTCATTCATGATGCGCATCGACTGGGAGCTGCCAGGGCATCAGGTCAGGGTAGCGACACAGGGACCGGCGGATGGAGCAGCTACTCCGTGGGGGTTGTGAGCTGACACGCCAGGGCAACGTGGTAGCAGTTCTAGAGGGTCTTCCACTGATAACGAAGGGCTCTGGCTCACAAAAGACGCCGGTCACTTTTGCTCATACTCATGGGCCAGATCTGGTCACATGGCCCACCCAACCATGTGTACCGTATTTGCCGGCGTATAAGACGACTGGGCGTATAAGACGACCCCCTAACATTTCCACTCAAAATACAGAGTTTGTTATATACTCGCTGTATAAGACTACCCCCTCTTCCGCACACCTTCCACACACCAAATAAAAGGTAAAACAATATCAGATTTGATTTTAACATTTTAATTTATATTCAAATGCTTATGACATGCAGGAAAACTGTCACAAGGCTGTATGTAATCAAACATATACATAAAACAGTGCAAGTTTAAACTTGAGTTTATTTTCAAATCCCAGCTCTGCCACTTGCCATGTGAGTGATCCTGGAAAGCCTGCTGAAACTCCGCGAGCCTCAGTTTCCCAGAATCACCCGTCTGCTGCCTCCTGCACAACCCGTACTGGGGATCGAGCCCCCAACCCGGGCCTGCACCCTTGACTGGAATCAACCCGGGACCCTTTGGTTCCCAGGCAGATGCTCTACCCACTGACCAAAACAGGCCGGGCGGCACTTTGTTTTATAAGTGACAATCCAAGGAGGAGACGTAGGTGGGTTACAGGAAATCCACTGGTGATAGATGAGAGAGGGAGGGAGGGAAGGAAGGAGGGAGCAAAGGGGGGTGGTGGGGAGTGCTGGGGACCTCTGGGATTGGATAAAAAGTAAAATGATAGACGCATACTTCTTTCTTAAAAACAAACAAACAAACTTTTTATTGATTGCAGAGAGGGAGGGAGAGAGCAACATCATTGATGAGAGGGAATCTCCCCATCTGTAAAAGGGCATGTTTACCCTGGCTGCTCACTTCTCTAGGTTCTTATAAAGATCTAATGAATGAACAAATATGCACATTTCACCCGTTTATGAAGCCCCCGTGCTCCACAGTGAGGTGTTTTGTGAACCAAACCCCACTTTGGGAATGAAAATACTTACTATTTCCCCACCTGGAAGTGGGTTGGGAATGCACGCTCCTGCATCTCTCCAAGAGGAACACGTTGAGATCGTTGGAAGAAAGTGTTTTGCCGATTAACGACCATAGCATTCATTTCCATGAGGGCCCATTCAATCGTGCTGACTGATTCATAACTGATTCATTCATAACAGTGTCATGTCAGGGGTGATGTGAAGAAAAGCTGACATGATGAAAATTGCAAATGTGATGTGAAGAAAAGTAAAACCAAGAAAACAAGCACGGACCTTTTTTCTCTAAAGATGCCGAGCTCTGTGTGTCTGGGAGAAAGTCAGTCTCCTGCCAGGTGTGGGGGCTGTGGGTGGAAAGAGGGAGTTATGAATGTGTAACCCAGAGGCTTTAGTTGCCCCATCGTTGGCTGTGTGCGTTAGAAACACACGTCTGAGTGAGGGTTGCCAGATAAAATACAGAACACCCAATAAAATCTGAATTTCAGATAAATAAATGAAAATTTAAATGTAAATATAGTCCACAGAGTACTTGGGACATAGTTATACTGAATTTTTAAAAATTTTAAAAAGTATTACATGTCTCCTTTCCCCCCCA